GGGATCACACTATGGAAGGGAGAGCCCATTGGGCAGAGCTCCGATCGGGGGATGCGCATAGCGTTGAGGGCATCGACGTAGAGGATGTTGAGGGCGCTGCCTCTGTCCATCAGCACCTTGGTGAGGCGCTTCTTGCGGATAATGGGATCAACGACAAGCGGGTAGCGTCCTAGTCTAGCGATGTGGGAGGGATGGTCCCTCTGATCGAAGGTGATCAGAGATTCTGACCAGCTAAGGAAGGAGGGAACGACCGTCTCGGCGGCGCATGCCTCTTGGTAGCGTACCTTGTGCTGGCGCTTGGAGCAGATGGCGTCGGATCCCCTGAAGATCATGATGCATTCCTCAGGGTCAGGGAAGCTGTCCCCGTCCTTGCCCGCTGCGCCTCCTTTCTTAGCTGCCGCCTCTTTGCTGTCTCCTTCTTTTGGCCCACCGGCCTATCATAGGAAATGTTTAAGGAGCTTGTAGTCCTTGTAGAGGTATTTGACGGGGTAGGCGTGGTTGGTGCATGGGCTATCCATGAGCTTGTTGAAGTGGTCAGGCAGACCATGCTGGTGCTGCATGCCCACGCGGTCAGCTGCGGCGACCAGCGCGGTGTTGGCCAACCGGCACTAATCCTTTTTGTTCTTCTTGCCCCTCTATGTAGAGGGGCCCTCGTCTTGGTCCTCGTGCTTGGCCTTACCTTTGTCTCGGCCTTAGGCATGGTTTGTGGCAACATCGAGTAGGTCGTGGGTGGTATGGGGCTTTAGGCAGCTAAGCTTGTGGATCAGGGGCTCACAGGTTGTCCTAGAGAGGAATGCGCTGATGACGTCCACGTCGATGACATCAGGGAGGGAATTGCATCATTGGGAGAACCTACGAATGTAATCCCATAGGGACTCGCTGGGCTCCTGCTGGCTTCTCTTGAGGTCCTAGGAGTTTCTAGGGTGGACATACATCCCCTAGAAATTTTCGACAAAGATCCTCTTGAGGTCCGCCCAGTCGCGGATGCTGTCGTGCAGGAGGAATTCAAGCCACGCTTGAACATGTTCCCCCATGCAGATAGGGAGGTACTGCATGATGAAGTGATCATCATCCACTCCCCCGACTCGGTAGGCGAGCCGAAAGTCTTCGAGCCATATACCGAGATTCGTCTCCCTGGTATATTTGGCGATGTTGGTCGGCGGTCGGAAGCGCTGTGGGAATGGCGCTCTTTGGATGCGCCGGCCAAAGGCCTATGGTCCTAGGCCATCTAGGCTGGGACTCCGGTCGTCTGGCCAGCGACCATACCTAGGGCATGTTTCACCGCTCCCCTCGATGGTCTGGCTGGGGCCCATGTCGCCTACCCTCACCGCCGCCTGATGGAAGTCATCATCATACTAGGGCCGACGCCGGTTGCTGATGACGCTACGAGCATCTTGGTTTAGACCGAGCCATTCGTGTACCGGTGGTCGATGTGGAGTAGGTGCCGGGTCAGGCCACGGCGCAGTTGCGGCCTCCTGTGCCGTGCTTAGCGGTTGTAGCGATGAGCGGATGGAGCGATCCATCTGGTGCATCCCCACTCCCCTGGTGGGGAGAGAGGCCATGAGCTAGAGTCGCGATGCGGAGCTCTTCGCCTACTGAACAATGGAGACTTCTGCCAGTGCCCGACGGTTCAGGTGGACTGCCCACTCCTAGGGGTCGACGGGCTCGGGAACGCCGCGCAGAAGCATCACCGCAGCGGTGATGTTTTGGTTAGCCCGAGCGAACTGTGGGGGATCGTTCCCCTTGTCCGTGATGTCACGCTGGACCTGGCGGGCGTGACCCCGGGCGCCGCTCGCCGGGTTACACGCCTGGGGCGCAACGTGCTGCACCGAGCGCGTCGGTGCAGGTGGTGGCTAGTTCTGTCACCGTTGTCGTAGCTCCTCACCGTGTTCTTGTGTGAGCGTGAGGGCCCCCGCACGAGGGTTCGGAGGGGTGTGAGTCTGTAAGGAATCCGCTACCACCGGTGGTTGTCCCAGAGCGTCCGCCATAGCGCACTCCCAGGACAGACAGTGGCTAGGTGCCACGTCGCCGATGCTGGAGCCGTCGCTCTCGACCTCATCATCGAGGAGTTCGTGGAAAGTGGTGGGAGCATAGCTCACCATTCCCACGAATTCGGATGTGAGAGGGGGTGGTGCCAGCGTCCTTCGGAGCCCCCGAGCATACGCGTCCATGGGGGATGCGAGGCTGTAGGGGAACCGATTGTGTGGTCGCGGCGCGGACAACGGGGTCCCCCGAATAATTGGCGAAAGATAATAAATAGCGAGTAAATAACAGCATGTACATTACTCATAGCGAGGTTCGAGCAGAGCATTTACTTGGAATGAAGCGCAGGCGCCTCATCATTGAAGTTGTTGTGTGTCCCAGAGCCGATGGAGGGCGCCCCTCTGACGGGCGTCGGAACAAGTGCCTCCTCACGGAGGTGTAGTACACCAAGCCGGTCGGTGACAAAGTCCAGGCTTCCGAAGAGGAAGGCCTGGGACGGCTCAAAGATGGAAGGCCCCCACATCCCACTAGGTGGGAGTGCGGGGAACTCTAGTGAGACGAAGCGAGTCGTATCGCCTGAGCCCATCATGGCGAAGATGGCAGAATAGTGGGCCATTCGATGACCAAAAGTGTGAACGTATAGCGTCTTCCCCACGAATAGCTCCAACTGTTGGTGCAGAAAGTGAGCAACATGTAAATATTTGTAGTTTTGTCGTACGTTGTGATCGGATGTGGCCTAGCACTCAATGACACATGGTTTATACTGGTTCAGGCAATGTGGCCTACGTCCAGTTTGAGTCAGTTGGTGACTTTATTCCTGAGCCTAGGTGCTCAAAGTTTGTTGTGGGGTTACAAACAAGAAGGAGAAAGATGGGGGCTGCGTGCCCCGGTCGGACTCCGGTCTGAAGGGCCGAGAGTGACGGGAGCTCCGCTATGCGCTAAGTGTTCGAGCGTGTGCTCGAGTGTTTGAACCTGGTGGTTCTGTTGTTGTGTGTTGAATGAACTGATCGATTGTGAGTGTCCTCCTTTGGGAGCGAGTGCATCCCTTTTTATAGATGAAGGGGACGGCCTTACAAGTGAGAGAGAGAGTACGTATGCTACTAAGTCTTGTTGCCCATGCCGTCGGGTACAAGATGATGGTAGGCGCCCACAACACTGTTGTTGTCAGACGCATGTGGGAGGTTTTACCGTGTTCACCATGTATGATAAATGACGGCGCCCACAACACTGTTGATGCCCAGATGCATGTGGGGAGTGTTACCGTGTTCGCCTGGTATGGGAATTGATGGCGCCCATAACACTGTAGGGTAAAACTTCGACGCCCACAACACTGCTTGGGTTCTAACATGCATAGAAGGTTGCAGAGCGTCCTTCTGACTTGCCCTGTTGGTACTGTCCTATAGGTGTACAGGGTACGGTCCTCGGTATTGCGGTTGTCTTGAGCACCCTGTCTTACTTGCTTCGCCCGTTTCCTGGTCTTCAACGAGCGGCCGTCCCCGGTCGGTTGGTCCTAGTCGGCTCCGACTGTGCTAGTCGGAGAAGAGCTGTAAGTAGAGGTTCGGTGTATTCCTGGTCAGAGACGCGGGTTGGAGTCGGAAGAGGCGTTTGGCCAGGCCTTCTGGTCGGAGAGGTGGACAGGAGTCGGCAGCGAGTGTTGTTCCTCCTCGGCCAGGCCTTCTGGTCGAAGAGGCGGGTTGGAATCAGAAGCAAGCGTTGTTCCTCCTTTCGGCCAGACCTTCTGGTCGATCGTTTCAGGTAGTTTTGCACCGGCCCAGGAGTTGCGCGTCGTTCACAACGTCGTCTGCTGGGCCAGGCCTTTGCTGGGAAGCTGGTCCATGAGGGACCCCGGGGTTATGAACCCGACAGAATTGTTGAAACATCTTTGATGGATAATTTAAAAACACTACTTGATGGTGGTAGAGGATTTGATACCATTAAATGAGGACATTCATGGATGGTCAGCTCGCTAACACTGGGCAACCATGACATGTGCTCGATTTCAAAATTTTCACAGCTCTCAAAGAGGATAAAGGCCTTCGGTACCCAGCATCTCCTGATCTCTAGTACCCTCAAACTTGAGTTCAAGTCCCTCACTGAATTGGAGAAACATGTTTCCAACTTTGGCATATCAATCAATACCAGCTCCTCTAACTTAGGAATTAGCAACTCTGTCACTTCTGTCATATTCCTTAACTTCAACTTTGTAAGAGATGATAGACTTTCTAGAGATGGGATTATTTGCCATCCTTTACAATCCTCTAGATGGATCATCTGCAAGCTAGCAGACCTAGCCAAGGAGAAAGCGCCGCATGCTCCTTTTGTCAGAACAAGATGCCTCATGCTGATGAGATCACTCATATCATGAACAATTGCTTGGCACCCAACATCTAATATTTCAAGGTGGTAAAACTTGCTTAGAGATATAGGCAAAGATTCACTTTTGCCTTTATTCTCAAGTTTTAGGTAGCGAAGATGGGTACAATTTACCAAATTGGAGATAAAGGTATGGAAGGACTTGAACTGGACGAATAAAGAATCATAACGCCCAACTAAGATCACCGTCCTCAATCTCCTTAATGAAGAAGCTATACTTTGCAATTTTTCTTCAAACTTCACGTTACCAACTATGTTCTCACATTCATCTATATGGTACACCAAATCAGTTTGAATTGACAAATGGCGCACGGTTGGTAGCACTTCTTTGCACTCTAAACCATCTATAGTTGCAAACTCGGTCCTTGAAACCAGTCTCGCAAATTCATGCATCATACCACACATAACATAGCATTGTTGTAGAATGGAGTCATCTTTTGTTCCAACCTGCTCAAAGAAACATGAGTTGACCAAAGTATTGAGATAATCCCATCATGTCTCAATAGATTTCACAAATCCCGATGATATCCACATGGAGACCAAACCATCAATATGAAATTGATGGTCACTAGGGAATATAGAACATGCCAAGAAACGCTGTTGTAAATGGTAGGGCATATGATAATAGATATTCTTCAAAGCAGTCACGATGCCTCCACGGAGCTGCAGAGATTCCCAAATACCATTCTTAATGACGTTTTCCAATGGTCAAGAGTAGGCTGCTCTCTTAACATTTCCACTGCACTTTTCGCTGCTAATGGGTTTCCCTTTAACTTTGCACATATTTGTAGGCTGGTGTCTAGATGCTCTTTATAATTGTTATCACCAAATGCACAAGCTCTAAACAATTGCAAAAAAGCATTATTTCCTAGAGCTCTTAATTCAACTGGTTTGATTGTACCTAGCCTTTTTGGAATGGACAAATTCCTAGTTGTCACAATAATCACATTACCCTTTGTGCAACTTGATCCCAAAGCATCCAATAGATCTTTCCATAGGGAATTCACCATGCAGTCGCAAACATCATCTAGAACAAGTAGAAACTTTTTGGACAGACAAGCCATATGTTTCTTTAAGACCTCTAGAAGCTTTGAGTAGTTGCTTACACCTTCATAGCTTTCTCTGTTGCGAGATCCTTCATGGCTGGCCATAGTAACAACATCTAAGATCTCCCTTGTCACTCTTACTTCATCAAAGATGTTGGACACCCAAACCCATATCCGCTCAAATTTTCTTTCAACACGTGGATCCTTGTATACAAGCTTAGCTAAAGCTGTCTTCCTAACTCCTAGAATGCCTACAATAGGTAGCACAGTAATGTTGTCCGACTTAGCAGCTTTGATCGCCCTTATGATTTTGCACATGCCTTCCATATACCTTTCTAGGAAGAGAGCTTGATGTTCTTACATGTGTATCTGAGTTGTTAATCTGATACTGATCAGGCCTTCCAATAGAGTCCTTGAGATACTCAATCACATCGTGTCGGATGCTTCTTAACTCAAGAACTATTTCCTGGATCCTTTTAAAAAAATTCGGCCTTGTCCCAGAGGTGTGTGGTTGTAGCTACATTGTACTCAATTCTCTTTCTTTTTCTCCCGTCTGAATCATTGGTCGAAATTGTGGCACCATTTTGTACACTATTGCCGACACTACAAGAGGAAAAGAATCACAGGTTGGTTATCAGAAAATTATTACTATAATTTAAAGGATCACATGTACGCATATTATATATTAAGCGTTGCGATGCAGAACTTGAAGGGTATCACGAGAACTTCCAAGGTCTTTGTCTTGAATGAATCACCAGTAGAGATTTCAATGCATCATTTCCCGACACATCTAGTACTTTGAGGCGGGTCAGATCTCCCGGAAAGCAGGGCTGCAGCGTTTCTAGGGAAGCACCATGGATATCCAGTATGCCAAGTGAACACGGGAGAAGCCATCTTCCGTTTGCCTGGTCATCGATTTCGTCTTCACGCACCAAGGACGATATCAGCTCGGGGCATTCAAAAATTCTTAGCTCCTTAAGGGAGTTGAATCCACAGAAGCATTCCTTGTTCCCCAGAAACTTTAGCTTGCAAAATGCAATGGACATCGTCTTGATAGAGGGTATGAGGTTAGATGGAATCCGCAGGAGTTTGTTAGGACATGGCCTTGCCGATGCGCGATCTGGATTTCCCTGTGATGAAACACATGGAGCCGAGGTGAGATTTGATAAAGTATTCTCTTTACCTTGTATCAATAGTCCTGTTATCTGCTCACACCTCACTAGATCCAATGTCTCTAGGGCTCGCACATTTTGCAATATCACAGATAACCACTGGCCAATTATTCCACAATCTTTAATGCTGAGACACTCGAGAGATGGACCGGCATCAAAATTTGTGCTTGTCATGTATTCGTGGGTATGTGTTGACGACACATCTGAAGAGAAATTTGTTTGGCATGACCATATTTCCAACCTCTTCAAGCAGACGAGTTGCTTCAAACCTTCTAGTGAAATAGACAACAGATTATTGCAGCCCACTATTTGCAATCGAGTTATGGTCCTCAGGTTGTGGAATGACAAAATTTTGTCATCAAGGAAATCAATGGTAGATGGATCACCATAAGATCCAATTCTGTATTCCCCGTTTGATGATCCCTCCATCTCTGGAAGTGCGGAAACTTTTGTGATGGATAATTTACAAAGGCTACTTGAAGGTGGTAGAGGATTTGATACTATTAAATAAGGAGAATCCTTGATGGTAAGCTCGCTAACATGGAGCAACCATGAGTGCTGCTCGATTTCACATTTTTCACAGCTCTGAAATAGGGGAAATGCCTTCAGTACACAGCACCGCCTAATCTCCAGCACCCTCAAACTACAATTCAAGTCCCTCACTAAACTGGAGGAACAGCTCTCTAACTTTGGCATATCAATCAACACCAGTTCCTCAAGTGAAGGAATTGACAACTCCGCTACTTCTGGCATATTCCTTAACTTCAACTTCGTAAGAGACGATAGACTTTCTAGTGATGGTAGTATTTCCCATCCTTCACAATCCTCTAGATGGATCTTCTGCAAGCAAGCAGACCATGTTGGGGAGCAAGCACCGAAGGCTTCCGCTCCCTTTGTTAGAATAAGATTCCTCATGCTGACAAGATCACTCGTACCATCAACAATAAGTGGTTGTCCAACATCTAATACTTCAAGATGGTAAAAATTGCTCAGAGATATAAGCAAAGCTTCACTGCTCCCATTGTTCTCAAGTTTTAGGTAACGAAGATGGGTACAATTTACCAAACTGCACATGAAGATATGGAAGGACTGGAAGAATAATGAGTCATAATGCCCAATTAAGATCAATGTCCTCAATCTTCTCACTGAAGAAATCATACTCATCAACTTTTCTTCAAACTTCCCATTACGAAGTATGAACCCACGTTCATCTTTATGATACATTGAATCAATTAGGATTGAAAAATGGTGTACGGTTGGTAGAACTTCTTTGCACTCTAAACCATCCATAGTTGCAAACTCGGCCCTTGAAACCAGTCTTGCAAATTCATGCATCACACCACACATAACATAGCATTTTTTATGGCCAAGTATAATGAAGTCTGTTATAATAAGGAAACCTGAGTTAACCAGAGCATTGAGGTAATCTTGTCCTGCCTCAACAGATTTCACAAATCCCGACGATATCCACATGTGAACCAAATTGTCAACATGGAACAAATAACCATTCGGAAATATTGAACAAAACAAGAGACATTGTTGTAAATTGTATGGCAACTGATAATAACTAATCTTCAAAGCAGTCATGATGCCTCCACGGAATTGCAGAGATTCCCAAACACCATTCTTCATGATGCTTTTCCAATGGTGAAGACCAGGCTGCTCTCTTAACATGTCCGCTGCATTTTCTGCTGCTAATGGGTTGCCATTTAACTTTGTAGCTATTTGATGGCCGATATCTAGATGTTCTTTGCATTGGTTATCACCAAATGCACATGCTTTAAACAATAGCCAAAAACCATCATTTTCTAGAGCTCTTAACTTAACTGGTTCTATTGTACCTAGCCTTTTTGCAACGGCCAAATTTCTAACTGTCACAATAATCACATTACCCTTTCTGCAACTTGATCCCAAAGCATCTATTAGATCTTTCCATTGGGAATTATCCATGCAGTCGTAGACATCATCTAGAACAAGTAGAAACTTTTTGGACAGACAAGCTATATGTTTCTTTAAGGCCTCTAGAAGTTTCGAGTAGTTGCTGACTCCTTCATAGCTTTCTCTTTTGCGAGATCCTTCATGGTTGGCTAGAGCAACAACGTCTAAGATCTCCCTTGTCACTCTTACTTCATCGAAGATGTTGGACACCCAAACCCATATCCGCTCAAATTTTCTTTCAACACGTGGTGCATTGTATACAAGTTTAGCTAAAGCTGTCTTCCCAACTCCTGGAATGCCTACAATAGGTAGCACAGTAATGTTGTCCGACTTAGCAGCTTTGATCGCCCTTATGATTTTGTCTTCCTCCACATCCCTTCCATATACCTTTCCAGGACGAGAGCTTGATGTTCTTACTCGTGTATCTGAGTTGTTAATCAGATACAGATCAGGCCTTGCAATAGAGTCCTTGAGATACTCAATCACATCGTGTCGGATGCTTCTTAACTCAAGAACTATTTCCTGGATGCTTTTCAAAAAGTGCGTGGTTGCAGCTACATTGTACTCAATTCTCTTTTTTTTTCTGCCCTCTGAATCATAGGTCGAAATTGTGGCACCATTTTGTACACTGTCGCCGACACTACAAGAAGAAAAAGATCACAGGTTGGTCACCAGAAATTTATTACCGTGATTTAAAGTTGCACTGGATGTCATAGTTTCAGTAAAACGATCATATTGCTTTCCTATAATAACAAAAACTTGTACGCATATATTAAGGTGCTGGCTCACGCTTGTGTTTTTAAAAAGAATGAAAGCATTGCAATGTTCATAATTTTTGTCCATCATAGTTGTATACAATGCAGATCTTGAAGGGTAAGGGCCAGTTTAGTTCCCCAAAATTTTGCCAAATTTTTCAAGATTTCCCGTCACATCGAATCTTTGGACGCATGCATGAAGCATTAAATATAAATAAAAAATAAAACTAATTACACAGTTTAGACGAAATCCACGAGACGAATCTTTTAAGCCTAATTAGACTATGATTGAATACTAATTGCCAAATAACAACGAAAACCGCTACAGTGCATTTTGCCAAATTTTTTGGCATCTAAACAAGGCCTAAGTAGTACCTTGGACGGTTCGGCGTCTCTTCAATTGCTGAACGTTTTTTGTTGCAACTTTTGAGATGCTTGTTCAAAGCTGATGTCCCGTGACCCCATGTAAGCTCTCTGCCGCAGCAATTGCACTTCGCTTTTGCAGGCTCTCCGTTAACAGATGGTATAATCTGAAAATAGTCCCGCACCTCGGATCGGTTATTGCGGCCGCTATTGCTCAGTGTACCAGTACTGTTGGCCGATGGATCTGCTTGCTCTGCTCTATTTCTGTCTCCATCTCCAACCATGCCTTCCGGCTCAGTAGCAGGAGCAAGCATAGCTGACAGAGAACGGAGAAAGTAAGGACATGTCAAGCGTCGAGTTTATCATCACAATTTACTAAAGAAAGAAACTGTAGAAAATCACAAATCATTGACAAGGATCAATGTATACCAACAGTATTGACCGATGCATCTACTTGCTCTGCTCCACCTCCAACCATGCCGTCCAGATAAAGGACTTGTCATGAGGATTATGATTATCACAATCTAAAAAAACACAAATCGCAAGGATGGATGTATACATACCTCTTTCGACCTGGTGCTGGAGCCTACAATAATCAAGCTCATCCACGACGTCGTCAGCGTCATACATGAGCTCCTTGACACGAGCGAGGGAGCGGGCAAGCGGCTTGTTCCCGACCGCCCTGCCCCTGACACTGTTGATGACCGTCTCCATCCTCTCGACCTCATACTTGAGTGCACCGATGGCACCAGCGAGGCCAACTCGTTGAAGCCACGCGTCGAGCTCGCCGATGGGTAGAAGAGCTTCGAGGATAGTTTGCACCTGCCATAGAATCGCGGACTCCACAGCGGTCGCCTCTGCCACCTCCATCAGATCGATCTGAGCCATGGTGATGGTGAACGGAGGAGGAAGAGGAAGCAAAACTGAGGGTTGCCTAGCCAAAGCAGAGTAGTCAGAAGTGCATATGGATGGTTGGATGTGTTGAAACATCGGTTTCTAACAAGAGTGAGAAGTGGGCGGAGGCCTTCGTCTTAGGTTGGGGTCTCCGCCTAAGATGGGCGGAGGCCGGCCTCCGCCTAGGACGGGCGGAGGCCCCTGAACGCGGCGCACTCCTGTCGAACAAGATCATCCGTCAGAGGCTCCGGGTAGAAGGTCGCTAAACGAGGGATTCAGTAGGCTTTAGCAAAGTGGGAGTAAGAAAGGGGCGGAGGCCTTCGACTTTGGCCGAGGCTCCGGACTCTAGCTTCGGCAGAGGCACTGCCTGAAAGAGAGAATGAGGGTCAAATACAGACTCACAAGAACTAGGGTTTCATTCATTCATTTACCAACCACCCCTGTACAGTTACGAGTGTTCCCTATTTATAGGGCTCAACTACCACTTTACAGAGTTTACAACAGTGCCTTTCAACTGCTACGGTACATTCCAGGAATATTTCAGCCCTAGTGTCTAACCTCAGGTGTGTTCTCATCACACCGTCTCGCAATGTCTTCACCTTGGGCCTAAGCCGACGCCCGTTGGAGGCCCATCAACCGTCCTCACGTATGCCTTGATGACTTGATCGTTCCGCACCTTGATGAGCTTCCGTCGTCTTGGGGAGAGCCTCCGCCATCTCGGGGAGAACCACCACCATTGTTCTTGTGCTAGGCCTCCGCCGTCTTGGGGAGAGCCTCCACCATCTCGGGGAGAACCACCGCCATTGTTCTTGTGCTAGGCCTCCGCCGTCTTGGGGAGAGCCTCCGCCGTTTTAGGGACAGCCTCCGCCATTATTCCTTCAACAGGCCTCTTCGAGGGGGAGTTGGCCCATACTTCGTATGGGCTCCCCCAACAGTAGCCCCTCAGCTGCTAGGTTATGGACGGTACTACATGACCTAGTAGATGTTCATACAAGAAGAGGCATTGTACAACCCAGATCTTGGTTGCGAGGATTGCCCTCCGTAACCCGTTCATGCACGCCTCGCTAAAAACTCCATCCCAAAAACCCTGTGGGAAAAAAGGGCATGGAGAAAAGAGCACGCGCATGACTCTAACCTATACATGCACTAAATCCTTAGGCTTTTAGCTCTGGGTGCCTTCATCTTCCAGGTTTCTTCATCTATGGCCTTCGGCTCCTTCTACTGCTTCTTTAGCATGGTTCATCGGCTTTGCTTAGTGCTCTGGTCTTCATTTCTGGGACATTCATGATGCGTGGGTCTGTATCCTTGAGGCCTTTGCTTCTGATGTCTTTTTGGCACGCAAGTGTGTCTCCAAGGCCCGATTGTATGAGCCTTCGTCTGTGTCTCTTCTCGGTGCAGAGGTCTTCACCTTCGGGTCTTCCGCCATTGGTGTCATCTCGGCGTGCGGGCCTCCGCCTCCGAGGCCTCCCCAGGTCTTCATCTCTGGGGTCTTCGCCTCTAGTGCCTTCATGATGCGCAGGCCTTTGCTTCCAAAGCCTTCGCAGGTGTTCATCTCCAAGGTCTTTACCTCCGAGTATGGTATCGTCTTGGTGTGCTGGCCTCTGTAGGCCTTCGACTTTTCTTCGGGCGGAGGTCTTCATCTCCTATCCTTCTTTGGGCAGAGGTCTTCGACTTTTCTTCGGGCGGAGGTCTTCATCTCCGATCCTTCTTTGGGTGGAGGTCTTTGTCTTTTCTTCAGGCGGAGGTCTTCGTCTCCGATCCTTCTTTGGGTGGAGGTCTTCAAATAAATCTTCGTTCACGAGCGCCAGACAAAAGGCCTCACGCTCCTGAGTGGTTGGTCCTCCAGTGCACTCCCCTAGCCCCTGTTGGCTGGCATTTGTGGCCGAGTTTTTAGCCACAATTGGTGTAGTCGATGTAGTCGTAGTAGTCGAGGTAGAAGGTTGTTGTGAGGCCTTCAAACCATTGCTCATGAGCACCAGGCAAAAAGACTTGATGCCCCGGAGAAGCTAGTCCGCGTGCTTCCCTAGCCCCTCTTGGCTAGTGCTCGTGACCAGGTCCTTAGTGACGCTTGGTGTAGGCGACGCAGTTGTAGTAGTGGAAGTAGGTGTTCATAACCAAGTTTGCCGATGTAGACGTCGACGAAGGTGTTGTAGAACTTGGTGTCGAAGGTGTCGATGGAGGTTCTTGAGCCATATTGCAAAAGTTGTTTGACAGAGGCGATGTTGTTGTACACGATGAAGGTGTCGATGAAGCCCCTCATGCCGTCGCGTTGGCGGAGGCTAGTTATCATGGTTTTGCCGAAGGTCCTCCTGCAAAGCTGCTTGGCGAAGGCCAAAAGGTGTTTTTGGCGGAGGCGATGTTGGTGAAGTTACCGAAGATGGTTGCGGAGCCCCTAATGCCGTAGAGCTTGGCGAAGGCGATGCCTACATAGACGCCGACGCCGCGTGTCGAAGGCCGGAGAAGTCGTAAAAATGCAACTGAGTTGATCTCCTGCATTTTTAGGGACTTAGGTTGGGCATTATAGCTTCGTCGAATATCGACTTGCTTTGCAAGTCTTTCGACACCCGGAAAGGCACTGGCTTTCCCACTAGCTGCAAAAGATGGTTAGTCATTTGTATGATACGTGAAGGTAGCACGAGAGCCTTAGCTCAGTGACCTGGTGCCCGTGTTCGTTCAGGACTTCTTCCAGGATTTGATGTCTTAGCACGACAGCCTTAGCTTCGTGACCTGGTGCCCGTGTTGTTTCAGGACTTCTTCCAGGATTTTGATGTCTCAGCACGATAGCCTTAGCTTCATGACCTGGTGCTCGTGTTGTTTCAGAACTTCTTCCAGGATTTTGATGCATAGAGTCATGGCGCCCGTGTATTCTCGGGACTTCTTCCGGGTGGCCCGGGCCATGCATTGCAATGTACTTACGCAATATATGTATGCGATGATGAGAATGATAGCATTTGCGCAAAAATATTTAAAAGGTGTAAAGTTATTATGCATCCTGCAAAAATGATGGTAAAATTTGAATAAAAGATAAGCTCTGCATCATATGAGAGGGTTATAGTTCAGATAGCTTGCGAAGGCTGTCATTTGAGGATCTGCACGGGTATGGATATAACTAGTATTGAATATATAAGTAATCAGTTCCCTACGAAGGTTAGACAAAATAACATTGGGTTGATGCATATTAATATATTATAAATACTTTAAGGAAGAAATTGAACAACGCCACCCGCAAAAATGAGGGAAAGTGTTAGCGTTAGAGGGCTCAAAGGTTTAGTCACTGCCGAAGGTGTAATGCTGATGGAAACCAACTAACTGACGAAGGCCACTGACTGATAGAGTTTGCTCATTGTCGAAGGCCTATGACTGATGTAGGCTGCCTAAAACCAATAATATGTGAAGTCCACTGATTGATGAACGAAGACCATGACTGACGGAGGCTCAAACTGACGAAGGCCAAAGGCTGACGAAGGTTATTGACTGGTGAAGGCCAATACGTGTCGAAGGCTGTGGAGAACCAATGATAAGGTGCACTGACATATAATGAAGACCAATAATCGGCGGAGGTTGTTGGCTGTAGAATACCACTTACTGGAGAAGGCCATTTATAGATGAATATTCACTGACTCATAGAGGATCACTGAGTTTTCTGATAAGTGTTGAATATTCCATGAGAACCACTGACTGACTGATTCAAAGAGTTGTTGGACAGATATGTGACGAAGGCTGATCACTTAACAAGAAGAATTGCCTGATGAGGAGTACTGACTGATTTGTCTTGAGGAGGTGCAAACACGCATATAACAAATGAAATATATTCTAAGGGGGTTAGCTTGGGAGGATAAGAGATACTTACGGCGCTGGTGACCTGCATGTTATTGAAAAAGAGTTTCGACAACAGTTGAAAATTGTTTTAAGTTAGCTGGGTCAGGGCCAAGCATGTATAGCCACTCAGGCCATGCTTTCGATGCGGCGAAGGCCACAACAAGTTTTTTGGTCACATTGGTGACAAGTTGTACATGAAGGTTGGTTTACGAAATTTGCCTCGAGAGGCAAAGGTTAGACCAAGAATGTGTAAAAATAAATGTCAAGGGCGAATTTTGTTAGGATTTTAAGCTGATGAAAAGTATTCTCTTATGCTATTTTGGTACCTTTGGTGTTGTAGTCCAAGAATTCGAAGTTGCGAAAAGTTAAGCAACTTAGCTGCGGTTTGTGTCGGAGGTCAAATCCTTCGTTGCCAACATGTTGGGCCGGCAGCTGCGGATAAAAAACAGTTGGCCCCCTTCACTTCTTGACGTGGTTGGAGTTGTTCCGGAGTTGTGGCAAAGGATGCAGCCTCCGCGCGGGCATGGTTGGTGTGGAGTCTTGGAGCGGAGGTCCGTGGCGGAGGCTTTCCTTTCTGCGTTTGTCCAGCCTTCGACCAATGCAGTGTCACGGACCTGGCCTCCGCATATTTTTCGAAAGATCACGGTACCTGCGCACGCATAGATCAAAAAATCTTGCAAGGTTCTTGTTAGCACGTAGGTATACCACCCCGGCGGCCGATGAAGTGAGCGACAGATCAGGGCCGGAGTTGTCCATGGTCGCGGCGAAGCGACGTGAAGAGCCTCCACAGGCACGGTCGGCGAGGGCTGCGCCGAAGGATGACTGTCACCATCCTAGCATCAGCCGGTGCCGGTGGAGTGAGCGGCGGGTCGTGGCTGGATCGTAGTCGCCGTGAAGGATGCAGCCTCCGCATGGGCACGGGCACGGTCGGCGCTAGGCTGAAGGATAGTGCTGGGCCTTTGGGTTGGTGAAGATTGCTGGTACAGAGATTGCTGCAGGCTTTGGCACCTTGCAGCTTGCCCGCTCCATGCATGAGCTGGACCCTTGGACGGCTAGCAGCTACACAGTGGTGCCAGGCCTTCGTACACTGGTCCCTGCGTTGCCTGCACGTTGGGCCGGAGGTGTTGTGGATGACAGTCCTGAAGCGGTGTCCGTCGTGCGGTGCTATTTTGTTG